CATAATGGCCCCTCAGATGTCATTTTCTTGCTAAGACATTTGGAAAAATTTTTGCTTCTGAATCACAAGCAAACACTATAATTCAACAATCTTCTCTGAGTTATTCAGGGAACTTCAGTGCTCTCAGAAGTGGAAGATCGGGCGGATGAAATCAATGAATTCTCTGAGCACTCTGTTTTTCTCCTAATTATATTTCATTTGCCGAAGGGAGGGTGAGGACAGCTCCATCTGACCACTGGGGGACATCTCCTGGGGGAAGTCTGGAAGCAGCTGATTTGGGGTTTCTGGATGACACTCGGTTTTTCTTATCATCGTAGTTCTGTTCCCATAATAGACCCAAGCGTCATCCAGGAAAAGGCTCTCTCCCACGGCCTCTCCTTGTGGACCGCTATTGCGACAGCCTGTGGAGGAGAGTGTTTCACCTAAGGGCCAGCCGGTCGTCCCCAATCACCTCAGTGTCCCCAGGCAGGAGGCCCCTTGCCCTGCGGCGTCACCTCCTGGGCTTGCTAAGGGACTCTTTGGCTCCTGCCGTCTGCCCTTTCGGGCGATGCTCGCTGAAGCTCTGTGCTGGAGCGCGGTCCCTGTTAACCTGCCTTCGCCGCAGCCCTTCCCTGGGGGGAGAAAATGACTTTGTCATTCATCACAGATGGCCACCTTTTATCACTTGCCGCAGTTCAGGGTTGGGGGGGGGTCACCTTCAGCCTGGCAGGAGAACAGACCTCGGGTTAACGCTGGCTTCTCAAGGGACACACACCGATCACCTGTGTCTCAGCCGCAGGGGCTCCTCTCCATTCCACGCGGCCATTAAGTCAGACACTTGCGCCGACTCCCAGATGCCTTTGCAGCGAAGGCCTTCCCATTGGGTGGGTCAGGTATGCCATTGACCCTTCTACTGGTCTGAGAAAGGCACTCTATATGCACCGCTTCACTGGTTTTCACTAAATTGGCAGTTAGAGGAGAGCTCTTTCCCCGGGGGAACAGGTACCTTCATAAATAAGGACAAAGAGCGGTGACACGGGGGGATGGCTCTTCAGACCCACTGCGTTTCCTAGCACTCTGTTCTACCCAGACATTTCAAATTCAGATAGACAGCCTCTGTGCCCCTCCTAGATCAAGCCTGACACGCAGCAGGTGCTCAATACCCAGGCGTGGAAGCAATGGAGCTGTGTACGCAGTGAGCCACATCTTCTCCTTCCATCCTGCAAAGCAGACTTGAAAAACATTGCTTTGCAGAGGGATGTTGGGGGGTCGGCTGCAGCGTGCTCAGCGAGCACGATAATGGGACATGGGACCATTATCCTGTTTCACAGCTCAGAAAATTCACGTTTGGGGAGGAGGTGGGCCCCACTCAGTGGCTCAGCCCACCTCAGCTCAGAGGACCCGCAAAATCTCTCTGCCCGGCATCTACCCCCACCTCCAGCAGCATCCAAAGCTCAGCACACACAGGACTGAGCAAACACGGCCGGTGGTGCTGGGAATCAAAGCAAACAGGATTCCTCTTTCCCCCCTTTCTGCCAACTGCCCCATTAACAGAAAAACCTTTTACGCGCTCATCTGGAAACCTGGCCTTTTGCCTCCCTGAGCAAACTGAGGTGACCGAGAGGAATGTGCTCCAGGGCGGAGCTGGGGGACCCCAACACACTGGATCCTGCTCATACAGCAGAGAACAAACACGGGAAGATCAAAAATGCCCCTCCGGCCCGGCCCAGCGGTCCCTGTGGTGGCCAGCACGGCCCCCTTCAGCAGCTCTGCCAGCTGCCGCTTCCCGTAATAGCTCCTGCGGTTACTCCCTCTACAATCCATTCCTGACGTCCAGGCTTCTTGGAACAGTTTATACTTTCAGCTTAGACCACCTCTTAGTGGACGGAGGAAAAAGTCCTCGGGCACCATGCCCACCACCCCCGCCCTGTTAGGACATACTCGTGAATAAATACATTGTTGGTTTTAAGAAAACTTGCTGTTCTGAGCAGAGCTGCTCAAGCTCGCCCAGCTGTTGGCATGCGCTCTACAAACATTTATTGAGGCCCTGCTGTGTATCAGGCACTGTGGGCACTCAGAGGTGAAACGGCACCAGCAGCTCCCAGGCTGGCAGGGAGATAAGGCATAAATATAAGTAATTAGCAAACACCACCGAGTGTGATAACCACCAACGAAAGTGCTGGGGCCACAGGAGGTCGGGCATCTCTGACCAGGGAAGTGCCCGGAAAGATCACAGCCACTCCAGGAGGGCTCAGGGCAGCGACTTGGGGATTTGCAGGAATCTGACATCTGGGGGAGGGCTGAGAGGGCAGGTGGAGGAGGACAGAGGGGAGAGGAAGGGGCGGAGGGCTGGGAGGGAGGCTCCAAGGGAGGGAGGATGGGGTGACTTCTACGGAAGCTGGAAAGTCCATTCTGTGTATATTTTTTATTTTGTGAAAAATACGGCTAAGCACATGCAAATTTCTTTTGTTTTTACCTTTTACACCTTCTTCTCTTTACCTTTAGGGGCTGCGGGGTTTGGACCAGGAGCATCTGTGACTCATGTGGCCATTCAGATTTGAGTAGAAAAAAATTCCAAACAGAGAAATGTTCAAGAGTACTAATCTTGAGCTAAATTTGGAAAAATTCACCAGTTGTTAACATTTTGCTACATTTGCCTCACCTCTCTCTCCGTTTATCACGTTGTTATTTTTGTTGCCCAACTGTCTGAGAGTAAGTTGCCAGCATGACGGCTCCTGACCCTTGGATACTTCATAGTACCTCCTGAAGGCAAGGATTTCCATTGGCATAACCCGGGGGCCATGACCTAATTCAGGAAATATAACACGAATGCAATGTTATTATCCAGTCCACACGTTCAAATGCCCACAATTGTCCCAGTAGCACCTGTAACAGCAACTTTTCCTGGTCCAGGACCTGACACCCCGGGTCACAAGTGCTCTTAGTTGCACGTGGCCCGTGAGGTCACCAGACAGTGGAGGACAGGAGCGGTCCTGGTGCTGGCACCGGTAGGACAAGGTCCTTCCCCACCTCTAGCTTTTTCCTCTGGTGTACGGCTCAGGTCCTTTTACTCTGTGGATGAACTCCTTTGGGAGTAAGTAGAGGCTATTTACCCCCAGAAAGTCCATTGTTAGTAACTTTCCTGCCCATGTGCCTGACCTAGTGTCTTGGACCTCACCAGGCCTGTAGAGAGTGCAAAGGGTTTAGGAGCTGACCGTCAGGAGGGGGCTTGGGCAACAGCAGGCAGACCCCTCAGTGAGCCCACTGGTCTGGTCAGAGGCCAGGGAGGGGAGGACACCAGGACTCTGGGTATGAGCACAGTTCTGTCCTGCCTTTAGATCCATGTCCTGGGGGATGGTGTCTTCCTACATCAGTCCCCTCCACGGAGGGCTCTGTGAGCTCACAGGCTGCCCGCATCTCTCCTTCATTCCCATAGCCCCAGCTCCCAATGTGTTGAAAGCTGTTGAGCAAATGGGGGGTCCAGCCTTGGGGTGCCTGGCAAATGCCAGAGAGAAGCCCTGAGAAGCAAGTACTTCCTGGGCTGTTGCCCTCATCCCAGGGTTTCAGGAGTGAGACCTTGCTCTGTGTGTGCCCTGTGCCTGTACCTCCAGAGCTCACACAGCACCTCTTACCAGCTTTTCCCTCATCCAAATCCAGGCTCTTGCTTCCTCTCTGGGGCTCCAGTTCCCCTCTTCTGCGGATCTGGTATTCCATCTGCATCTCCTCCAGGCGGTGGGGCAAATGGACATAAGAACGAAATCCCGTCATGGGCATCCTGGGCAGGATGTCAAGCTGGCGGTTGGTTGGGCCACTCTGCTCTGTGCTGCCGGGCTGGGCAGGCTTGCAGGCTAAGAGGGGATGGATGGGGGGCTGGTTTGGGAAGTTGTGTGCTGGGAGCTCAGGGAGGTGTGCTGAACACCCTGTGCGGCCAGTCCTTGCTGGGTGCCAGGGCAATGCAGTGGGGAGTCCATTCGGTCTGGGAAGGGGAACCAATGGCAAACAATGAGTCTCTGGACAATGGAGCGAGGAGCCAGGAAGGGCGCAAGGGGGCAGCCAGGCCCAGGCCTGGGCAGAAGGCTGGGCAGGACCTCGACAGAATGACCTGCAGAGTGGGAACTGGCACTAAGGGAGAGGAAGGGTAAACATCGGTGTGAGCGTGCACGATGGCAAAGGGCCGGTGCAGCCAGGAAGCCGCTGGTCCAGTGTGCAGGTATCTGCCACAACCCAAACAGCACAGGCTTTCTGAGGGCCGAAGTCTGCAAAGGGGGCTGGGAAGGTAATTTGAGGCCAGGTTGGGAAAGGCCTCGATGACAAGCCGTGGAGTTTAGGTTTTTCTCTCGTTTGTAGTTTCCCAAACTCCTACGAATCACGTCACCTTTGTAATTCTGGTCAAGTTCAAAAAGGAAACTTTCTTTCCTTTTCATTTTACTATTATAAATACCAGTTATTTTCTTCTATTAACATTAGCGTATACAACATAAAAATTGTCTGCCCGTGTCTCCCCCAAAGTCACTTCAGTGCCACCAGTGCTTGTCAGACCACTCCTTAGGAAACACGACTAAAGACAAAGGGAGCCATGGCAGGTTCTTATGGGAGGATGGGGAGATGTCTTACTGGTTGTGTGACTGTGGTGATGTCACTTCATGCTCTGGGACATCATGGCCTCATCTTCAAGTGATGGGTTTAAATAAAACGATTTCTAATAATGCAACTGGCTTGGACAGGCGAAGTTCTTTGGAGGTGGTCCTGGTCACCCCAGTGAGCTAGGAGCCATGGCTCAGTTGTCACACCTTGTGCCTCACTAGCAGGGAGCCCAGAGCCAGCTCTGGTGCCCCGAGTCTGCCACAGCAAAGCCTACCTCTGGTGCTGGCCCTCCAGGCACTGTGCACGACAGCAGCCTTTGGCCTTGAACTCTAGGAAATGACCAGGCAATATTGTGTGTTGGGAGAGGAAACTTTCCCCCTGACCCCCAACCCCCTCCACTGCCTCCCACCCCACAAGGACGATAGGCACAGAGCAGAAGGGTGGGGCTGGGCCTCGGGGCTGGACGTACTTGGGTCACACTGGGAAGATAACTTGGTCTGCTGGTCCCATCCCTGCGACGCCCAGAGTTGTGTTGGGCTCACACCAGTGAAGGGCGGCTCTCCCCGAGTCTGAGGATTCCGTGAAGATCCTACACTTAGGTGCAAAGCCAGGATGCGTGAAATCGTGCACATTCAGATCGGCCAGTGTGGTAACCAGATCGGAGCCAAGGTAAGGAAAGTCAGATGACTAGCACTGGCTTTACCACGGTTCACAGGGGTACCAACTAAGAAAATACCCTGAGTTAGCAGGGAGACAATGAACCCAGAGGAGTGCATGCACTTGCTGAATATTTTATTTATAAAACAGTGCCTTTGGTTAAAGAGACCAGGAAACAGTAAAGGCTTAAAGGGTTAATTTAGTTCATGTTGATTTTGTCGACAGTTACATGTGTATAATACATGTCAAGCATTTTTACTTTTATCACCTTAGCAACAAACTTTTCATATCTAAAAACAGTAATTTGTTTCAAAACAGTTTTCTGAAGTTTGTTGGGAAACTTTTTTTAATTGAGGTCATAATAGTTTATAACGTGAAATTTCAGTTGTACATTATTATTTGTCAGTTACCCTATAAGTGCACCCCTTCACCCCTTGTGCCCACCCCAACCCACTTCCCCCTCGTAACCACTAAAGTGTTCTCTTTGTCTGTGTGTTAGTTTATATTCCACATATGAGTGAAGTCATAAAGTGTTTGTCTTTCTCTGTCTGGCTTATTTCTCTTAACATAATACCCTCAAGGTCCATTGTTGCGAATGGGACGATTTTGTCTTTTTTACGGCTGAGTAGTATTCCATCATATATACCACATCTTCTTTATCCAATCATCAGTCGATGGGCACTTGGGTTGCATACACATCTTGGCTATTGTGAATAATGCTGCAATGAACATAGGGGTGCATAAGTCTCTTTGAATTGTTGATTTCAAGTTCTTTGGATAAATACCCAGCAGTGGGATAGCTGGGTCATATGGTATTTTTATTTTTAATTTTTTGAGAAATCTCCGTACTGTTTTCCATAGTGGCTGCACCAGTTTGCATTCCCACCAGCAGTGGATGAGGGTTCCCTTTTCTCCACATCCTCTCCAACATTTGTTACTTTTAGTCTTAGTGATTATAGCCATTCTAACGGGTGTAAGGCAATATCTTAGTGTAGTTTTGATTTGCATTTTCCTGATGATTAGTGATGTTGAACATCTTTTGAACATCTTTTCATGTGCCTAGTGGCCATCTGTATATCTTCTTTGGAAAAATGTCTATTCATATCCTCTGCCCAGTTTTTGATTAGGTTGTGTCTTTTTTTGTTGTTCAGTTGTGAGAGTTCTTTATATATTTTGGAGATGAACCCCTTGTCGGATACATGACTTGCAAATACTTTCTCCTAGTTGGTGGGTTGTCTTTCATTTTGTTCCTGGTTTCCTTTGCCTTGTGGAAGCTCTTTAATCTGATGAAATCCCACTTATTTTTTCTTTTGTTTCCCATGTCCGAGCAAAGATGGTTTTTGAAAAGATCCTTCTAAGACTGATGTCAAAGAGTGCACTGCCTGTATTTTATTCTAGGAATTTTATGGTTTCAGGTCTTGCAATCAAGTCTTCAATCCATTTTGAGTTAATTTTTGTGTATGGTGAAAGATAATGGTCTTCTTTCGTTCTTTTGCGTGTGGCTGTCCAGTTTCCTTGGGAAACTTTTTATACCGTATCAGTAAGATATCTTTTCCTCCCCTCCCAGTTTATGTTATACAGTTAAAAAAGATCAATTACTGTTCCATTTAGTATGCAACAGAAAATTAAATAGGGAAACCTAAAAGTTTTTGTGTCCAGTAGTAGAAATAATTAAAATATACCCTCTGGAGGATGAATGATTTTTCTCCCCATTCCCCTCTTAAATTTTTCTACCAAGTATCTAGCTCAATTGGCTGAAACTAAGAAAACAGACAGAGCCCACAGCTTCCCATCCTAATCGTCAGATGCCTGCTCCTGCAGCGGGACAGCTGTCTGACTGTTCTCTTTGCTATTTTGAAATTACTTTTACTACTATGAACAGCATTAAAACTAAGGTCTTTAAAATTTTTAAAAATTATGGTAAAACACATACAGCATGAAATTTACCGTCTTGACCTTTTTTTTTTTTTTTTTTTGAGGAAGATTAGTCCTGAGCTAACATCTGCTGCCAATCCTCCTCTTTTTGCTGAGGAAGACTGGCCTTGAGCTAATATCCATGCCCATCTTCCTCGACTTCATATGTGGGATGCCTACCACAGCATGCTTGCCAAGCGGTGCCATGTCCACACCTGGGATCTGGACTGGCAAACCCTGTGCCGCTGAATCAGAACGTGCAAACTTAACTGCTGTGCCCCCGGGCTGGCCCCTGTCCTGACCATTTTTAAGTGTACAGTAGCAGTTCAATAGTGTGCTAAGTATATTCACATTGTTGTGCATCCAATCTCCAAAATGCCTTTCATCTTGCAAAGCTGATGCTCTGTCCCCGTTGAACACTGACTCCCCATCTCCCCTCCCCCATCCCTGCCAACCACCATTCTGCTCTCTGGTTCTGGGAATCTGACTGCTCTAGGGACCTCATATAAGTGGGATCATACAGAATTTGTCCTTTTGTGACTGGCTTATTTCACTTAGCATAATGTCTTCAAGGTTCATCCATGTTGTAGCATGTGACAGAATTTCCTTTCTTCTTAAGGCTGAATAACAGTCCATCCTATGGATAGACCACATTTTGTTTGTCCATTTATCTGTCAACGGACACTTGGATTGTTTCCAACTTCTGGCTATTGTGAATAATGCAGCTGTGAAAAAACTAAGGTCTTTTAATGCAGGTGTTTAAAACCTAGGGCAAAGAATATTACTGCTTGAAAAGAAGTTGTCATCCTTCTGTGCCACAGTGATACGATGTTGTAACCAAAACACACACAGAATTGGGAGGCACAAGCCCCCACTGCTCCGAAGGTGGAAGATAATATGTAGAGAGGACCTTGAGAGGGAGTGCTGGGTCTAGATAGGGTCTTAGCACTTACTCCAGAATTAGTGTGGTCTAATGGTTAGAGCCCCAGCGACTACTTATTAGTTGGGGCCAGAAGAACTTTAAGACACATTTAATTTGTTGTGTCATAGAACTTAAATTTATTTATTCTTCCACACTCTGAACACTGCTGGTAATTTGCTGTAAAATAGAGTCTTGTTAATAAGACCATGGCCAGAGCAGGGCTATCATTTACAAGATATGGTTGGGGAAACACACTTGGGGATTTTAACATAAATGAATATATTTTCATTACACTTTAATATGTGCTTCTCCAGGGCAATAAAAAGGGGCCATCTCAGTAACTGTTTCCATATTAAGAGCCTGGTACATATCTATATTAATAAATACAGTATATGTGATTGAAAGTGTAATATGTTTCAAATAGTTACAAGAGAACAGCTATGCATAATTTTGAACTGTGTGCATACTGATTATCAAAAACGCTTGCAGCTTAAAATGGTGCATACATGTCCTTGTTGTAGGCTTTTTGGAAAACTGTGAAAATAAATCCCCAAAGTGAAAGGAGATATTATTGTGAAATCAGATAAGAATTCAGTCTGTTTTCATTTATTGGCATCTATCCTCTCCTAGCTTGAGGCACCATAAGCACAAGTAGAGATACGCTGTCTGACGTGAAATTCTAAAACAACAGTTTAATGTATACAAAGGCCTGAATTTAACAGGACCAAAATCCGATTTAATACTTTATGTGTCGACATTTTATTTAAGGAGTTAGGTGGGTATACATGCAGTCTTCATATTCATGTTTAGCAGAGGCAAAAAATGAATTAGGCCATGGAGCAGGCGTTTAGGAAAAGAGCCTAAAAGAATGTCTTGGGAAGGGACAGTCAAGTCTACCCAGGGAAGCAGGTTCAGAAGCTCTCATTTTCCATCTTTCTGCTCAATCTGCTGGCTCACTGGCACCAGCACGGCCTTTTCCAGGGTCCCTCTGGACACTGACCTTCCCTCTTTCTGCTTTCAGTTTTGGGAGGTGATTGGTGAAGAGCATGGGATCGACTCAGCTGGGAGCTACCACGGGGACTGTGCTTTGCAGCTGGAGAGGATCAGTGTGTACTACAACGAGGCCCACGGTAGGATGCCATGCTCTGGTAGCAGTGGCCACCAGCCCTGGGAACACGGTCAGAGAGAGGAGGGCCCATGAGACTGCAACGTCACATGAGTAACGTCCTGGCAGAGCAGCAGAATTCTGAGAGTGACAGGTCCCCAAGCCCCGTCTGAGGGCAAGGCCTGGTGAAGAAGTCACTGAACAGGGGCACGCGTCTTAACGCAAGTTTAAGCACCAACCTTCCTTTCTAGTTTTTAAATAAAAACCAGAATCATTTCTAATAGGAAAGGACTCTCTGTCATTGGTAATACAACAAACAAAACAGACAATAAGGGAAAAAATTTTTAAAGGTATTTTACGGATTTGTGATTGTTGCTGGGGTCAAGGATATGATTTCAAATCTCTTTCTACCAAAGACGATCTCTAGAATACCGGTTTGGTTTTTTTTTTTTTACCAGTATCACAAGGTTCTATTTTGATGAAACATTAACTTTTAGAAAAACAACAATTTGCTGACCTCTTCCTGTTTTTCTACACAGGTAAAAAATACGTGCCCCGGGCAGTCTTGGTGGACCTGGAACCTGGGACGATGGATAGCATCCGATCCAGCAAATTGGGAGCTCTCTTTCAACCAGACAGTTTTATCCATGGTAGGTTTTTCTGGAAAGTTCCACCAGGAGGAGATGAGGATGCCTCCTAGTGGTACCCTTTTCTCTCCACCCCCACACCCCCTGCCTTCTCTGGGCCAGGTAACCACGACTGCTTTCTGCCACAGGTAACTCGGGGGCTGGTAACAACTGGGCGAAAGGCCACTACACTGAGGGAGCGGAACTGATGGAAGCTGTCCTGGATGTCGTGAGGAGGGAGAGTGAGAACTGCGACTGCCTGCAGGGCTTCCAGATCGTCCACTCCCTGGGTGGGGGGACGGGCTCCGGGATGGGCACTCTGCTCATGAACAAGATCAGGGAGGAGTACCCGGACCGCATCATGAACTCCTTCAGCGTCATGCCCTCCCCGAAGGTGTCCGACACGGTGGTGGAGCCATATAACGCTGTGCTGTCCATCCACCAGCTGATCGAGAACGCAGACGCCTGCTTCTGCATCGACAACGAGGCCCTCTATGACATTTGCTTCCGCACCCTGAAGCTGACAACGCCCACCTATGGCGACCTCAACCATCTGGTGTCCTTGACCATGAGCGGCATAACCACCTCCCTCCGGTTCCCAGGGCAGCTCAACGCAGACCTGCGCAAGCTGGCGGTGAACATGGTACCCTTCCCCCGCCTGCACTTCTTCATGCCCGGCTTCGCCCCGCTCACAGCCCAAGGCAGCCAGCAGTACCGGGCCCTCTCAGTGGCCGAGCTCACCCAGCAGATGTTTGACGCCCGCAACACCATGGCTGCCTGCGACCCCCGCCGTGGCCGCTACCTGACAGTGGCCTGCATCTTCCGGGGCAAGATGTCCACCAGGGAAGTGGATGAGCAGCTGCTCACCGTGCAGACCAGGAACAGCAGTTGCTTTGTGGAGTGGATCCCTAACAATGTCAAGGTGGCTGTCTGTGACATCCCACCCCGGGGGCTGAACATGGCTGCCACCTTTATAGGCAACAACACGGCCATCCAAGAGCTCTTCAATAGGGTTTCCGAGCATTTCTCTGCTATGTTCAGAAGGAAGGCTTTTGTGCACTGGTACACTAGTGAGGGGATGGATGTAAACGAATTTGTGGAAGCTGAAAGTAACATCCATGATTTGGTATCTGAGTACCAACAATTTCAAGATGCCAAAGCGGTTCTAGAGGAAAATGAAGAGGTCACTGGGGAGGCAGAAATGGAACCAGAAGACAAGGAACATTAAGCACAAGGCGCTGCGAGCCTAAGCTGCAGGGTGTAGTCACTTACACAACAGTGTCTCTTAAGATGAGCGTTTCCCTGCAGCACCCCCGAGCCTATTCCGCACTGCAGCATAGGGAGCCGGACCCACACGCTCAGCATCAGCTTCCACACAGGCCCATGGGGGAGGGGGCCGGGGAATAACCGATAGGCATTAGGGTCTTCTGCTGGCATTTACTAACCTTGAAGAGTTTGATATTCAAAGCACACTCTACTAACTGTTTTGAAATAGTAAAGTGAATTTATCAAAAAGCACTCCCTTTAAGAATGTTTATTGGGTATTTACTGTATGCATAGCACTGTGCCAGGCCCCAAGACTATGCGTGTGGACGTGTGGGGGGCCACCGCTGTTGATGTTGTCAACTCGTTAGCAGCAGTGATAAGCACCCTGGAATCCTTACTTGGCATCCCGGGGCTGCTAGGACTCTTACCTCTGCTTCTCTCGTAACACATGATGCCCAGGATCCTACCTTCTCATCCTGGCCAGCTTCCAGAAAAGCCAGGTGACTAACCGGTATGTGGTGAGCTACCCAGCAATGTAAATGTGAGCCAACTTCCACTAGTAAATGGTGTAGACCTGTGTACACTTCAGCACACTAACAGGAGAGGGGAAAAGGGAGGAAAGGAAAGTGGCAGTCCTCTCCACAAAAACATCCGGCCCAAACATCAAAAACAAAAACAAGCAATCAAGATCTTAGAATAGTTTAGCTTTTAACATATATATTTATATAAGTTTCCTATTAGTGTTAGGTTCTGGGAATTCATTAATCATCATCTTTGGTTTTCCTTGTAAAGGCTATTTCAAAACGCCCATTTCACTTCCATTCAGCAGTCACCTTCTGAGAAGGCTCTGGAGCCCCTGCTTTCAGAAGGGCACACTGCACTCCCAGCAACCATTCAAACGCAGGAATTAAGCAGCAACGGCTGCAGTGTCCTTCTCAGTTACGGAGGACATCATCTCATTAGGGAACTTTTACAGTTCAAATTAATTTGCAGAAGTTGCCATAAATGTTTGCACGATGACACAGCTTTAACCATTACACAATTTTAATCTGCTCACATTACAACAGGACCAAGTACACGAGAGCGTAATCAAATCATCCATAACTTCTTAATTACAGTTTACCTAATTCTGACATACAGCACTGCCATCCCTTCCAGGACCATAAGGGTTTTAATGGCCTTCTAGAATTACCACTGAGCTGTACTATTTGATCCATGCACAGCCGGGAATGGGAAGAGGGTCCGACCCTCACTGCAGGAAAGTTACTTGCAGGCAGCAGGGTTCTGCCCTCCTGCTTTGCTCTTGTAATCTGCAGTAAGAAGGGAGCAGGCAGGTGCATAACAGCAGCTCATTCTGGGAGACTTCATTCTTTTCACATATGCATCACGAGCAAGTAACTAAAATATGTACTGAGAGACAATTAAGTCTTGCTGCTGGTATCATACGCCTCTTATTTACAAAATTTTTTTAAAAAGTTTTAAACACTTTCTACTTGGTTTCAAGAAGCACTAAGAACAAAGCAAGGTTTACTAAGAAACTGCACCTTTACACTCTTAGTTTGAAGTTCACAACTTCCTTAGATGCTAAAAAGACTTACAACCTGTGATTATGGAAGAATTCATACACGTGCTTCCTCTAGGACTTTCCTTCTCAAATCTAAAAAGGCAATTAAATAGATGCAAGGCAGGCTAGAGACCTTAATTAAAAAAAACTGATTTATATTACTGTAAAGATTTTCGTTTGATCAATAGTGATCATTAAAGTACAAAGAAATTCAATTTTAAATGGCTAAACTGCTTTATTTCAGACTAAATGAATTCCTTTTCTTGGAGCCTAACTGCCCAGACTGATTAACTCGAGCAGCTAAAAATATTTCAAAATGCATCTCACCATCCTACTCTTTCATATGGTAGAAATAGATTAAAAAAAAATAACAACAAAAAAACCCTAGAAACCAAAAGAAATGCGTCCCCTCTGATTGTGAAGCGCCGATTCCTTTAGCCGTATGGTTGCTACGGCGACACTGGTCTCTCAGAGACGGAGAGTAGGATCAGAATTTTAGAGCTTGTCCGATGCCTTCATTTCACACACAAGAACGCTGCAGGAGTGAAGAGATTAATGATGCCCTCAAAATCACCCACCTGGTTAGTGAAATACCCACAACGAGCTGTGACAGGGCCCCGGGACCTGGACGCAGTAGTCCTAGCGGTCACCCAGCAGGGCTGCGTGCAGGAAGTTTCCCTCTCCACAGTATCAGTTCAGGACTTCTTCTAATCACAATGAGCCTCAAAGAATCTTTGCCGGACAATAAATTTGTCTTTCATTCAGTTCATCCTTTCCATGTCACAAGCCCTGTCCCTAAGTCTCACCTCTAATTAGCCTGTCTGCCTCCCTAACAAACGACTTATCTCTAATTACTTGTCTGGAAATAATTTAACCCTTTGCCTATCAGCTACTTCATTTGTCCGGTATCAATGGCCCGACAGCCTTGTGATTAATTTATTCCTGTCTCTGTAAGGAAAGATGCTTCCTAGTACCTTACTCTTGGGGATGAAGCACTGACAAGTGAGGTGCCTTGATCTCAAAACAGCAGGACAACAGCCCCGAGGCAAAGGGCTCAGGGGCTCTTAAGCTGCTACTGCCCAGCGTCCCAGCTCTCCCACTCACTCTGGGGCTCCTCCTTCTGCGTCCGTCCTGTGCCGAGAATTAAATAAAAGCTACAGGTCAAGCATCCTGGGGCAGGAAGGCATCTCCAGAAGCCGAGAACAAAGGCATTTTCTTGGGCTCCTCCTTGTATTGCTGAGCAGCCCTGATAAGTTCTTGTAAGCTGAAGTACCGTGGTGGGCACTGGTCCTGCTGCAGAAGATGAAAAGTGTTTCAAAATTTCCTGTTCTAATTAATTTTCCGCTCTCCAAAAAGTTAAAACCAAGCAGTTAACTTTGCAACGGTGTTTTACTCAGCCAAGTCCTTCCAAGTTTGAAAGAAGGATCAAGACAAAACACTTGCAACAATTCTTCATCCCTAAATATTGAACGAATAAATGACTCACCATGCAAACACCACCAAACTGTTGAAATCATGGTGCCCGGAACCTGCGGTCAAGAACCTTAGATTTTAATTTCAGCTTGGTCATCAACTCCATAGTTACTCCACAGCTCTGCCCCATTTCCTATGAAATGCTCCCAGAATATAAAGATTCATTTATAAAAAAAAGTGAAAAGCATTTTGTGTTTAAATTCTAAAATTACTAGCTCTCCTCTATAGGTTTTATGTGCACACTAAGAAGTGACTACCACTAAACTACAGCTCTCCTTCTACTCTATTCTTTTAGTAACTATTTTCTTTTAGGCTACTGGCTAAGCAGTGCTACCTAGAGATCCTGCTGCCCACACAAGAGGATGAGGGCAGCGGATAACAGCCCATCCACTACTCGGACACGACTTCTGCAATTCAAAGATAAGGGACAACCAGAGAGCCTCAGTGACAGTCTAACTTTGTCAATTAAAGTCATGAAAAAGAGAACTTTCTATTTTGAGGCATTTTCAAAATGTTTTCTGCATCCCTAAGGTCATTAGATATTAAATCTGCTGCCCCTGCCCCTTAAGAAACCCCGGGTCTTATGGTCATAATCCTGCAGTTGTGCAGATAGTTCCTATAAAGAAAAAGAAAAAGGTCCAACGGAAACCAAAAACCAACAGCCAGGGTGACCCATGCTTCACTTTATTGGCATTGTCAATCTATTAACAAGACAGGTATTTTTTTGTTTTCCCCATGAAGCGAGATCGTTTTCAATCTGCCATAACATGTGCCCATACATCTTCACCTTGAAAATGTAGCATGTCAAGCTTTAGTCAGGGTCTAGGAGGAAAAAAGAAAATGCAACAGTTGCTAGTCCTTCATGTTTTCTTAAAAATTCAACATGAATATGGGAAGTAACTTTCTTATAATGAACTGTATAATATAACTATGGCTTCAGTTCACTGGGTTGGTGATGAACCTTGGCTCCTGGATGTAAAAACCTGACATGCTCGGCCTTAGCCAAACAAGTGCTTCCCTGCTAAGTAAAACCAAACACTCTCCTAGCAATAAAGAAACGACTTTGCCTTTAAAAGACACCACAGTTCCCCCTGTGCTAATGGGGCGGGGGGCTGCATGGCCTGCAGGACATATGGAGAGTGGTCAATATTTTATCTATGGGAGCTGACCCCAAGGACGTCACAAGGTCAGGAGAATTAGATGTGGCGTTTGGCTCGGCTATACTTCAGAGGCTAAGGGATTCTTTCAGTTAGCTCAGAGTTAAAACAAATAACCTGACATAAAACCAGGTCTTATTACTCAGAATGATGAGATTAGACAGAGAGCCCCTAGAAAAAGAGCTAAATTCAAAACATTGAATCTCTAGACTTGTAATAAAATATTTACTAATTCAAAATGAAAATGAAAAGTGCTTAGGGGAAACAGTTCCAATAAGTAAAATTGCTCATAACCACAAGCTGCCAAAGGACGAATATTTATCACATTTCCTTGCTACTGTGGGTCTGAAGCTTTTTTAAAGCAAAACAAGAAAATTAAATCTGAAAAACATCTCTCTGGTAATTTGCCTTGCTTATCTTTGAAATAACAATGTCAAGAAAGTAGTTTAGAGATCCAATCACTTTAGTAGTTTGGAGCACAAAAGTCTGAACTTATCAACTGCACAACACTGTCTTTTATTGCACAGAATGTAACTTTACACTGCCAACATCTTTGGAGAAGTAAAACGAACTAAAACCTCTGAAAGCCTAATGAATTTCGCAAAACGGTATTTACTGCAGGGTCTTGCAGATTTTATTGCTTGATAAAGTAGTAGGACCCTTGTCTGTACTTGTAGCCCTCCTGTTGGGGAAGTAGTGATTTGTGAGAACATTAGCAGATGTGATGGAAATAAAAACATAAAGAACTATAATTTTTCATGCTCCTGAACTGTTATCTAACTCCAATAGCCATTACAAAAGTGGGGAGTTTATCCTCTAAATTATTTGATTTTGTGCAGACAAATGAAACAGGCTTAATTAAAATAAGACGGCTCTTTATCTGAGCACTGCTAAATGAAGTGAAAATCAATGTGCCAATTGCTTCTGTTTGTCGGGGCCTGAAATGACATTCTTCTATTACGCCACGGGACTTCTAGGATCTGCATGCTTTAAATTATTAGCCCACTAACTTCTAAATGTACTAACTCACCAAAAAATGGACAGAACTCAAAATTAAAATTACTCTGATTTTTTAAAAGTGCTTTAAAAATTTAAGAGGCAACTCTTCTTCTAAATAAGTCAGTAACTTACAGATTATTCCTTTTTCACTTTCACAATTTTTACGCTGCTGCCAGAAGTCTTCTCGGCATTTGCTTTGAATTCTGTCTTCAGTGCATCTCTCACTGCCTTTGCACAGATCTGGGAGTATCGGATGTAGCTGGGAGAAAGTGAGGGACAATATACAATTAATTATCAATAATTCAGCCAGACTGGTTGTGTTAATGTGTTTTTGTTTTTCTTTCTATACTTTTAATTTTGGTTTGATTATACATTATTGTAGAATTGGATTCAAAAATGACTAACGCCAAAAGGATTCCACACAAAGAAAAAGACGACTAGAAAGATATGTACCAAAGTCTTAACTGGTGTTAGGATGAGTGATTGTGCTTTTTCTTCTTTGTGCTGTTTTCTCTCTTTAATACAAATTAATTTAAAATAAAAGATGCATAGGTATTTTTTAAAAATCCCTCAGCACAAGAAAGGAAATAGACCAAAATGTTAACAGAGGCTATAACATGAATAATTTCTTTTCCATTTCTCTACTTAAAATTGTTCTTTAATTATATTATTCGTACAAGGTAAAGTATATATAATTAAAAGAGAAAAAATACTCATTTTGAGTTAAAATAGTTCTTCCTCTGATTAATTAAAGGTTTTCCTGAGAATACTGGATTCTGTTTCACAAGTCTGCCATCGAAAATACTTTCCAATCAAGGTTTCTAAATTAAACTGAAAAGTCCTTAGAGCACATCATCCACTCCAGCAAAACGTCTAACAGCCTGCTTCCTGTTTGGTAGATGGACTCCCATCAACATATTATTTTCCAAAAGATGTCAGCTCACTTTTTACACTTTTTGAAAACAGGAAGGGGGGAGGGTGCTGCTATTTTTTTTATGTTTCAGATTTCTCTCTTTCTCTCTCTTTTTTTTTTGGCAGAGAGATAGGAGCTCCACTACTTCCACTCTTACTAACGGGGGTGACCTTCAGGCCGTGCTATCTTTCCGGCTAGTTTATTCACCTGCAGAAACAGTAGAACCAAATAGAAGGATAATGACATTTGTGCCACAGGGTCGGGAGGAGGAGAGACAAAGTGCGAAAAGCGTGGATCTCCACGCCAGCCACATAGTAAGTGCTCAATAAACAGCACCTGTTACTGGGACTGTCACCCTTCCGGTTCTACAAAACTCTGCTTGACCTCACAAGTCAGGAAGCTTGGGCTGCTCATTCCCCGGGTCATCTACCCCAGAACGTCACCACTAGAAGGTGCTACTTTAGTCAAGTCTCAGGTGCGTCACCTGGAGCGAGGTACGCCGCTCGCCCAAGTCGGGGCACAGGCAAAGAAATCGGGTGTGAAAACCTGACCGACGCTGGCCCATTTCACTGGATGCCATGTCTTCAAATGGGTTCCATATTTGACTTTCCCAAGAGCTACCACTCACCTCTGTGCAGCGCCCTCTACAGTTTACCAAGGGCTTTCACCCGTTTTACCGATAAAGAAACCTGAGAGCAAGAGGGGGTAAAGCACAAAAAGGTGTGCCCCATTATACAAGGCCCCACTCTGAGGCTGGAAAGAAAGGCCAGCAATGCGGCCAGCGGCTGCACGGAGAGCACCCACCCCAGCCTTCCTCGCTCCCGAGTTTTACGTGACCACATTACTTCCACAACGTAACCCCGCGCAACTAGAAGGACAAGGACGCTGCACGGAACACCGCTGCGTCTGGGGACGCAGGCCTGTGCCACAGACGTCCCCGGTGGCGCGCCAGGTGCTCCGCTGTAGCCCGCAGGGAAGGAGGAACAGGAGCGCGAGCCTGTCGCACAGACGAGGCCATGCACGCCCGAGGCGTGACCCCGACCCCGGTCCCGGCCCCGGCCTCCTGTCAGCGGGCCGCCATCTTGGGGCCGCATTCGCCTGACCCCCGCCGCGCTCGGCGTGACCTCCGACCCCGGCCCGTGCCCAGCACCCCGCGCCCTCCCTGACCGCTCCCCGCGAGGCCCGGGCCTACCTGAGTCCAGCTTGTCGCCAGTATGCCACCATGATGTCGCGAGAGGGGGCGCGTCGGGCCGAATCGCGAGGACGCGTCAACGTCGGCTCCGCGCGCGGCCCAGTCGCAGGAAGGTCAGGCCAGAGAAGCGGAAGGGGCGGGGCTCCGGCCCTGCCAATTCCGCCGCCTTCTGCCCCGCCCGCCCTCACGAGCAGCCCCTGCTGCCCCGTCGCGGAATCCCCCCGGCGCCGGCAGCCAATGGGGGAGCGCGGCCGGGGCCGCGGGTGCCAATCCCCGGGCCGGCCGGGCAGCCGCGCCTGCCTATTGGCTCCGCGGGCGCCCGGAGCGTGTGCCCCGCGGGCTTCCGTAGTAGCCGGCGGAGTAGCTGGGGCGAGAGGGGGCTGGACGGGGACCGCGTGGTTTCTAGCGTGTGAGCCGCGAAGCCGCGGCGGAGGCCGGTCTAGGGGCGCACTGTCACCCCCGGGTTACGAGGAGACGGCCGCGTCCTGAGGTTGACACTGCAAGCACCTTAGCATCTCCACCTCCCGAATTAGTGAACAAAGTGGACCTCGGCCAAGGAGCACGACTCCCCGACATTTCCTAGGGTTTTGGGACAACCCATGATGTGGGACAAGACGGGGCAAAAGAGTTGGCGGGGAAGAAGTGGGAATAAAAATCGGAGGGCAAAGGGGCCGGAGGCGCGGGGATCCCACGGCGGCAAAAAGCCCCTCATTGCCTGGGAGCGCAGGGCTGGCTTACAGCTGGTGGCCAACGAAGTGCACTCTTAGAAGGAGAAAAGCTACTTTTGCTCTTCATAATTAAAAAGAAATTATAATCAGGAAAAACATAGTAGTTAAAATGAAGTTTTTATTAACAAGAAAGGTTTTTCTTAATTCATGTAAGATCCATTTTTAATATTAAATAGGCTAAGATGCTCCACAGTTCGAGTCTAATCTACCAAGGCTATTCCAGTTTAGTCCTCTCAAATGCATCTGCTTTCTGTGTATTTGTATTTTAACAGGTAAAAGCCCAAACTACCAGCTATTTAATTAAAAGAACTATATTGGAAAACGAAAATTTACACAATTTTATCATTAGATCAGAGTAAAAAATCAAGATAAAAATTTGTTTAGAAATCTTTTTATCATTGGGGCACTACACCTTTTTCAGAACAATTTACAAAAATTATACAAGGCAAGTTTTTATCAAATTCAATATTTAGCAATGTTTTGTTTAGATGAAATGTTACTTCAGTTCTAAGAACCATGTCTGGTTACAAAAAATAATCAAAACCTTATTAGATTTATTTTTCACAAATGCCCTAAGAAGTCTTAAGCTAAACAGTATTTTAAGTAGAAAAACACTAATTTTTAAATAGTTTGGATACTATTTCTGTGGTTTATGTACATATGTTACCTGGTTTCTCTTACAGGAAACCTGATTAGAAGTTTATCATATGAAGCATTGTAAAATAAAGGCAAGAGCTCATCACCTTTTAAGAAAAATACTCTGTGTGCAACAACTGCAGGTATCAAAGATATGATTTACTGGGTGCTATCTGCCTGCTACAAAATAGGAGACAAAATACATTTACTGGATTGTTTTTGAGATTGCAGCTGCCTTTCAGAATCTAAAATAAGGATTTCCCATAAATAAAAGCTGCAAAGTAATTCACGTAGTGGTTAGTTTAGGTCAATGCTTTTGTTCTCCCTATTATTTTTTCCTCCCCACCGCCCCCACCCACCACAGTGGCACATCATTAAAAACACTAAGTACCTGGGATTTATGCTTCAGATCAAGACGTCATTTGAGTAATTTCAAATGATGTACAGCTCTTCATGTTTTAAAAAAGCTGTTTTGTGGTCACAATTATTTCAAAAAGTAATTATATTCAAATAACCTGACATATCATGCTTTAGCAATTACAGAACCATGATTTTGACACATGGCAATTTATAAGTTAGGCAAATGTGAAATGCTAAAAGATGTGAACAGCTGTTCTTCTGTTTAAGTTTGGAGTACTGCAAAATTCCGGTAATGACTTTATTTTTCCAGTTAACATAACCAACCCACGGTACAGCATACTAAGTACCAAGTCAAAGTACAAATCCAAGGAAGGTAATACCTTTACTAAGTTATAAAACTTTGGCAAATCAATACAGTACTCTTTGATACAATAAAATCATATTTTTGTTGTAATCATATATTACTTTAGTGATAATTTTCACTCCAAAAATGTCACTTAAGTACCAAATTAAAACACTGGTTTTTAATGGTGGTTTATAGCAGAGCAAGTTATTTTATACAAATCAATGTCCTTTAAAACTACGCAATTTCTCCTTTTTTAAAATGAGTTCCCTCATGCAAGCTCCTGCAGTTTACCGCAGCAGGGCAACTGTGTGTATTTAAGAGGAGGCTCTGCTCTGGGGTTGGTCCAAAGCCAGGTAGAGTTCCACTGCATGAAAAGCTTTAAAATTCTACCTTAAGGAGATTTAATATGCCAAAACCAATTTCCAAAAACTGTTAAATTTTCACGTAAATACTGGAATCCTAAAAATTAGATGGTCATTTCAAACAACACTACTTTCAGATGATCCCTTTTATTTAGAAAACCTGTACCTCTTTGTTTTGATCAAAAATCAGAGCCTTTTTCCAGCTTATTAAAAAAAAAATTCTACCTAAAATATAGTTGTATTTTTTAAATAACAAATAAATATCTTGTCAGCTTGTAGAGACCTGGGGGACTGGGTGTTGTGTATCAACTTTGATCATCATTTCTCTACAAATGCTGCTGCTGCCATCGGTGTCCTGATGCTCCCTCTTGCTGAAGCTGTCAATTCTTCAATCTCAGCATTTAACTTATGTATTACCCATTCCATTGCTTCTCGGCCCTTAAAAAAACCCAATACATTTATCGTTACTGAGTGAGAGCAAAGGCACATATAGAATAAATGGCACATTAAGAAGTAACAAGGAACGTTTCAAGTATAACTTTACCCCACCAGGATGGATCGTTTTTGTCCTTGCTCTTTCTTCTTTAATGTTATTTACCAAATATCAAACACCTTGAGCAACTGGCTTGATCTATAAACTGATTTTTATTTTGTATGCAAAAGACGTCCTCAAAAGAATCTACAATTAAATCACAGTGATGTTTTACTTATTTCATGATTAGAGCAGTCCTTTTTTGGGGGTGAGGTCAAACCCCTTTTTCCTTTTTATGTTCATATTTTAAACCAAAATCCTATTCAAGGAAGGCCCTGAAAGATCTGGTCACTGACTTCCTCTTCAACCATTCTCTCCTGGTGCTCTATGCAGTTTGCCGAGGCAAAGAAAGAGGAGCACTTCAGGCCATCTCAGGGCCCTGCACGTGCAGCTCCTCTGCCTGCAATGCTTCCTAGCATACCCCTCACGACAGCCCACCCCTCAGTCAGCACTCGGCAGAAATGTCACTCACTGAACACTCATGAAGCACTCTCATACCTTTCTGTATTTTTCCTTTCCTAATGCCGTGTTGTGTGATTACTTGTCGCTTTCCTCTTAGTTCCACGAGGGTAGGGACCACGTTTGTTTTGCTCCCCGCTGTATCCCCAGTCTAGCCTAGCACTCTGCCTGGCACAGAGAAGGCATCTATGAATATCTTTTCACTGCTGAATGATTCAACATGTGTTACAAAACAGTGCATTAAGCATCTCTTTCTCTAAACTAACTTTGTTTTAAATCATGCAGGGTGGGGTGGAAAAAAATCTTTTTTGTATAAAGCACAGATACCCTCTGTCTCAAATGGATCTGGGGTGGGGGCGGGGGAAAAAGGTAATGAAAAAAGGTTGAGAATCAGTGCTTTAAATAATGACACATGGTTACACATCATTGAGCACTCCCTGTGCTAGGCCCTGGGCCACATGCTTTCCATTTGTTATCTCGTTTACTCTTCATGCCCAACCCTGTAAAACGGGTAATTTTAATCTCCACTTCAGATGGGAAACTGAGGCATAGAAAGGTTAATTTAATTGCCCAAGGCTGAAAGGCTGGTAAGAGTTAGAGCTTGGATGTGAACCAGGTGTGCTGGACCCCAGAGCCTGTGCAAGTACCTGCCCGTATGGATTCTCACTGCCTTGTAGCTGAGAGTCAGCTTGTGAGGACAAACACACGTTCTGTACTAAGCTCTTCCAAGAAATGAAACCCAGGAATAATAGCAATTGGGGAGAAGCCTTACTTACTTTATTAGCATTTGAAGATATCGTACTTGCCATCAGTCCCTCGAGGTAACTGCTGAGACTGACTCCCTTCACAGTGATTATGGCTTCTTGAGTCAAAACCGTTCTGGATCAAAACACATTCAGACAGCTTCAGAATGACTTTTCAGTTTTTAGAGAAATACTTGATAAAAACATTAAAATACCCTGTAAAATAGGTTTGTTAAAGCATTTTTACTCACTTTTCCGGGTCCTGAGGATGTGGTTTGTATATAAGTCTCTCATCTACTGAAACCATATTTGTAAATGAAATCTATAGAACAATAATAAAAAAGTCAAATCAAACTGGAAACCAGGATTAAAAACACTTCTAAAATTCACAAACCAAAATCTTGCTAGCTAAACATACTAAACAACAACAAACCACTTTTCTATTACTGTGTAAATAGAACTTAAATTTCACTATTCACTGCTTTTCATTAAAAAATAAATTTGACAAAAGTATTATAATAGTAATAATATGCACATATCCCAAATTCATTTTATTCAGTCCTGTCCCCTAGAAACCATACGCAGGCTCCGCAGAGTGGTGAGGCTAAGCTACAAACATGATACAGCAGGTAAGCACTGATTTCCTAGACCACAGTGAAGAGCATATGCTCGTCTGCATATCAACTATAAAAGAGACAAGAAATTAAGCCAAACAGTTTAAAATTAAAACAAAAGGGAGGCAAAACTTACATTGGTAGATTTAAGTTCCATTGTTTTCTCTACGGGATCAACTACAGAATGTTCTTGTACATATGTTTTGGTTCTTGCTGCACCAATAAGCTAGGTAAAACATTCAGAATTAGTAATCAGAGAAGGGTTTCTCAACAAGTATATCAGCATTTTATTTGAAGGTAAAAATGTGTTAAGATCTTGAACCAAAAATCTGTTTCATAAAAAACATGAGGAATCAGACAAAGGTCAGAAAGGAGGCTGATGCGAGGGTAGCATGAATTCACACATCATGTATGAGACTGCCAGACACAAAAAAACCTTCCCAGAGGCAATCAGCAACCAGCCCAGTGATCATGTATGCAGTGTAAAGCAGGATGCTGCACTGCCAAGGGGTGATGGAGCAGTGAGCCTGAAATACGGACATGAAAATCTTTGGGGAAACATGGTATCTAGAAAAAGGAGAGCTCAAGAGTATCCAGAGCAGTCCAAAGGAGAGGGTGCCATGGCTTCATTTTCCAGACAGAAAAACAGCCGTCTCATGATGGAGGATACATCATATCCAGAGTCACTCCCTCTGCTCTGACCCCAAGCCAATCCTCTGATCTTGCTCATTTCTGTGTCCCCACTATCCAATGCAATGTTTTGCACAAAGGAAGCAATCAGTAGGTTTCTGTTGAAAAATGTGTACTTTAGTCTTCTGAGTGAACCTACCTTCTAGAATGAGAGCCTCTACAGAAAACTGGGTCCACTTATCATACCAGAGTTCTCTCACATCACAATGACCTGGCATTCCAGTTTCTTGCTAGTTAGGTCATCTTATTAAACCCTGCTCACTTGTAACTGAAGAGCACTATGTTTTTAAATGTATGAGGAGAACCAGACCTTGGAACAAATGTGGCAAAAGCAAAGTCAGAGAAAATGCTCCTCACTTAATGTGCACGACCCACCATCAACTACAGCAACTGTCAGCTAAGAATTGCCACCAGACCATTACTTCCAAATCTTACTATTGGTCTCTAGTTGCTGGCAAAAGTAGGAAAAGCAAAATGTAACTCCTTTTAGAGCATTAGCTGGCTTCCTTCAGAAGGTTTTATCAGGTGCCTTCATGAAGACTGTAATAATATTTCCAATTCATTATACACTCATAACTCAAGTTTATTATAATACAATTTGAACTGATGCAAAAATGACATTCGGAATCGGCTCCCACAACCTATTTGAAATTATAATGTGGTTTAGAAAACTTCTCTACAGTAGTCACATTTCTGCAGGAATAAAGACACACTTACAGATTTCACAATGGAAGGCAGTCCCCACTCTGTGCTGAGAAGTCTGTGGCTGTGCAGCTTTCCAGAGGGATCTACATGTCTGTCCAATACATCAACTCCAACCACACTCGGGTTCATAGGATTTGGGTATTTCTGCATTGCAGCTGTTGTAACAGTTTCCCACGGGTGGCTGCCAACATGAACCAAAAATCAAACATTTAAAAATATGCATATAAACTAAACCATTTATAACCCATCAAATTATTCTTTACAATTGAAGCTTAGTTAATTTACCTAGGGAATGTGATTTTCTGAAACAATGACTGAAAGATGACTTTGGGGGCACAATCTATATTTTGAACATGTACAGATTTCAGCATTTTCTCAGCACACAGGGTATATGGTACAATTGATATCTATGAAGATTAAAATAGCCTATAGAGCGTTACAGTACAGTTTCTTAAGCAATCTTTCCTACTTACTTGTGTTCACTTTCACACGTAAATATTCTAAGAACCACTGATTCATAAAATGTATTTAAAAATTATGTTCTACAGAAACAAGCAGCAAAAATTGTTATTATACCATTTATTCTTTTGTCTGACTCTAACTCCAAGAAGCTATAAAAAAGTAACAAGGGCAAAAGAACTTATAGGCACTGTGAATTCTTATAGGGATTACAAAAAGATCCAACGCATTATTGATTTAAATACTGTAATATTAAAAATGTATTTTTCTCTATATTAAAGTAATAACACTGGCTGCTCGAGTCAATCTTAATCCATTGCTTTCCTCAAAGGAGTGATTCTATTTTGAAAAGGTCACACAATACGATGTTTTTAAGGCACTCCTAAAATCTTATGTTCTAATATTCTCTCTTACTATAATAAACATTTGCTTATCATCTAGGATTGAAATGGTTAACAATATGATGGAAGTCGCAGCACCTTTATCTTCTTGAAAAAGCACATGTGCTTGGGAGATTCAAAACGTGATCTACATTTGTTCCCTTCACAACTTATGTGAATAAGATGCTCATACAAAAATACTCTTTTCAAAAGAGCCCCTTATTAACTATAAAAAGTATTAAAGGTGACTTAGTCCACCTGCAATCTGATTCTCCACTATCCACCTGTGCGCCCATCCTCATTGAAAGGAAAAAGATCTGGAAATGACGTTTCAAACTACATTTACTGATAAAAGTACTATTTTTTATTTTTCTAAAAGCAAAACAGGCAGGCATTAATCTATTTCAACTTTTCAGAGAACTAAGCCTGATATAACTACTTCTTGTTGACAGACGGAAAATCTCAACACCATTCATTTCCCAGAACCCAGGACAACCAGTGACATTATTTTTAATGTTTTCATTTTTGCTATAATATTATATAAATGAACCTCATTCTGTTTTTAATCTCAGGCCTTATTCAGCAATCAATGCAGGTATATGAGTGGAGCTACTTCATAAATATAAACAGTCTCCACAAATAGAAGTGATATAGGGCGAGCACTGATTGTTACCAAGGCAACTATCTAAAATGAAAATCGATGAACCCTTTCCCTGTCTCCTTCTAGTCATATACCATGGTTAGCTGGTTTCCTCACACTTATCTCTTCCCCCATCCCCACTAAAAAATTAATAATTGCATGGCTTCCGGATGGTTATACATTATTTGCAATTTACTTCTCTCTGAGCCAACTTGAAAACATCGATGTTGACTTAGCTTGCACTACGACATTTTGAAAGATAACTAGCTCAAATGTTACGAAGGATGCGTACTACAATTAACAGTCTTCCAGCATCAATGTAATTGTGGGAAAAGACCTGAGACTGGAAGACACTCAAAGATGGCACCAAAAGGGCAGTCAGGAGAACCTGATGGCTTACTGACCTGTCCAATTTCTTCTATAAAACAAGGTGTGGGGGCTCTGTTAACTCCACGGAGGCAGCACCAATGTCTTATTTACCAAAATGTAACCAATGCAAAGAAGAGTGCCTAGCACACAGTGGGCATTCACACTTGTTGAAGGAATCAATGAATGACTTCAACTGGATGCCAGCTTTATGCCAGGCCTCAGAAGGAAGTACTGGAAAACCAAAGATGGGTAAGGCACAGAATGATGACTTCGACGTTGTTAGACAGTAACCTCCTTCAGATGGGAAACACTAAGATTTATGAGGATAAACAACGACTTAAATTTCAGGCATGCTGAGTGTCAGAAGCCTGTGGGACACGTGAGTAGAGGTGTCTGGTAAGACCTGAAAATAAGAACCTGAAGTTCAAGAGAGGCTGGAGCTCAAGGTACAGATTTGGGTGCCACCAATGTCTACGTATCAGCTGGGACCTCGATCAAAAAGCCCAGATTATCTGAGGAGACTCAGGATCAGGGCTGCTTCTCCCAGAACACGTACAGCATTTATTTGAATATATCTGCCTTCTGGGAGGAGGGTCCCAGAGTTTTCATCAAATCTGACAGGTCTGTGATGAAGAGAAAAAAGAAAGATTAAGAATCACACATGAAATGCAAGACAAGAAGGCCAACAAAAGAATCTCATGGAATATTTACTCTGAGGGGTAAGGAGAGAGGGAAATCTTGAAGAAAGGGGCAGAAAGAGTGGAGAGGGAGGCAGGGGACAAGCCAGGGAGAAGAAAGTTCTAAGGAGACACAGTGCCAACAACGATGAAGTATTTAAACCCAGAAAAGGATTGCGAGGAACAAACCATCCAGGATCCCAAGGGCTGAAATGGAGTAGCGAAGAGTGTGACCAAGTTAAAGAACATGAGAAAGGCTACAAATTTAGGGTCTTTTTCCCCAGAAAGATTGTAAACATTAGCGAGAAAAGAAATCTTCCTTCTGATTCTCGTATTCTATACTTTCCAGGATCCAGCAGACATATTGAGTACGTAAAAAGCTTACAACTTTTGAAACCGCCCTTGGAAACAGTTTAAAAAAATCAAATGGTTAAACTAAAACACACTACAAAGCTATAAAAATTAAAACAGTGTGGCAACAATAGCAAGCTAAATGGAATAACCAGATGGTTCACAAACAGATTCAAATATAAATCACCATCATGTGTAGGACAAAGGTGACACGTCAAACCAGTCAGAAGAAGACAGATTACTCAATAAAGTCTGGGGTAACTGATTAACTCTTTAGGCAAAAAAGATACAGCTGCTTCTATGTGTGGTTCTTTTTTATATGGAATCCCCGAACCAGAAGGGAACTGAATTCCCAACATCCAACTGGTTGAAGGCCTATTTTCGTTACTAAAAATTTCTCGCTAACAAGAGATGCTACTGAAAAGTGGCCTCAAAGACATCTTGCTGTGGCAGGCCCTGCAGATACCATCATCTTGCACGTCTCAGAGGGAAAAGCGTAACCCAAGGTCACGCGGCTTGTTGGAGCCAGACCCGGACCTTGGACTCCATTCCAAGGCTCCGATCCTCAAGTCAACGAGCTGTAGGACGGTCTCGCCTCCTGGTCGCCTGAGCTCACCAGAAATTCACGTTGGCGGTAAGAAACTCCACCCAAACGCGGGCTGGGGGGGGGGGGGGGCGACTCTCGACAAAGTCTGCGCCTTCTCGGGTTCCAGTTCCCACTGGGGTTCGCCAGGCCGCATGTGGCAGCGAGGGGCCTCCCACCCCGAGAGCTGTCAAGGACCTCGTGCCCGCGACGCCCCACCACCCGGGGGCTCGCCGGAGGGCAGGCCGCAGGCTCCCGTCTCGGGCCCCCTCCCCGCGGGGCGGCGGCTGGCTCTGGGGGCCGGGCACTCTGTCCTGGGGCCCCTTCCTGGGGCGCAGGGCGGCCCGGGAGCCTTCGGGGCCCCGTGGGACTCAGGCTCGCCGTCCCCACTAGGCCCGGCGCCTGGAAGCTTCCTGAGGGGCGCCCAGGCCTCGCCACGACTCCATCCCCGCCCCGCCCTCCCCCCCCGCGGTGGCCCCGTGCCCCCGCCGACCTGCCCAACGCCCCAAACTTACTCAAAGACGTGCTCCGAAGTCCAGATCTTCATGGTGCCGGCGACCTGCGCGATGTCCGGGCGGCGCTAGGGGACAATGAGGCAAAGAGGCCACACTTGCCCCAGCCCCGCCCCCCAGCAGCCCCACCGGCCGCGCCGCGCGCAAGCGCCTTCGGGCCCGACGCGAGGGACGTCCCGACGCGCTGCCCCACGCCCTATCCCGGGCCGGGTTTTGCCCCAGCCTTGCGCGCGGCGCAACGAAACCCCGCCCCTTAGCGCCCGGCGCACTGCGCCGGCGCAGTTCCGGGGACAGCGCTCAGGGCCGCCGGCGCGGGCGCTGTGCTGCGCAGGCGCGGCACACTGCCCGGCGGCCCGCCCCCTCGCGGGCGTCGCCGGGAACGCTGACCTCTGGGTAGAGTTGGGCCAGGCCCAACCGGTTCCTGGGCGGAAGGTTCTGGCGCGCCTCGCCCCCTCTTTCCTGCGGACGGATCCAGTCAGCCACTTACACGGGGTGTCCCTGTGTCCGGGACGCTTGAGCACGTGTTCATGGCACCGAATTAGAAAATTCTTCCTACCTCCCGTGTCAGCCCAGACTATGGAGGCTCCAAAGTCATGCAGCCACCCCCAACTCCCAGAGATTATGACCCTAAATGGGGAGAAGACAGACAGACATGGAGAAACTAACACCAGACAGTGTGATAAATGCCCAAATGAAGGATGTGGTTAAGAAGCATGGGTGCTACATGGAAGAGATGGAAAAGCTTCATGGCCCTGGGTTTATAGGATGGGTCTTGGCTCAGATGTCACTCTCCAGAGAGGCTTTCCTTCACCATTCCTCAGCACATCCTCCAGCCCCTCTTTCCTCCATCACACATCCTGTTGCATTTTTCTTAGCACTTATCCCTCTCTGAGATCATCTTGTTTGTTTGTTTGACTTCCAGTTAAATGTAAGCCCTTGAAGGCATGGATCTTGCCTGTCTTACTCAATAATAATTCTCAGTACCTCGCCTATAGTAAAGGCTCAGTGAGTATTTATTGAAAAATGAAATAATACTTATTTGGGGAGTGAATGAATTACTGAAATCATCTAGTTTATCTGTTTAGCTTCCACTAGACTGGTAGCCTTTGAGGGTGAGGCCCTTGCCAGACTCGTTCAATGATTCGCCTCATACCTACATAATAATTATTTGTTGCATAAATGATTGAATGACTAAGAAGTAAGGAGGCAAGAGGGAATAGCATGTGGTTTTATCCACAGCTGAGCTTTGCCCAGTGGACAAATTGCCCGGCCTAGCTTTCAGCATAAGTCTTCCCTCGCCTGCAGAACAATTTGCTTTTTTAAATGATGGCCATGGAGGAAGATCTTTACATCTGGCTACTTAGAAGCTAGTTAGAAGCATCGCCTCATTCTTTTTTTTTTTTAAAGATTGGCACCTGAGCAAACAACTCTTGCTAATCTTTATTTTTCCTGCTTTATCTCCCTAAATCCCCCCGGTACATAGTTGTATATTATTAGTTGGGGGCCCTTCTAGTTGTGGCATGTGGGACGCCGCCTCAATGTGGCCTGATGAGCGGCGTCATGTCCGCGCCCAGGATCCTAACCGGGGAAACTCTGGGCCGTGGAAGCAGAGCACGCAAACTTAACCACTTGTCCACGGGCCAGCCCCACTGCCTCATTCTTGTTCTTAGCTCATTATATTATTAAAAACAAATAAAAGTCAGGTTAATTTAGGAGCGAGGATAATTTTTTAAAATAGCCAAAGCCCTTTATATAGAAAAACAGAAAAATTACATTAGACAGGAAGGACATAATATGGTCTGATAGTTGCTAAGTGCAATTTGTGGTACCTAGGACTTTATTTTTTTTTTTTAAAAAAACCAAACCTACTGTACTTAGAGTGAATTCTTGGGGAAGTGATGCTTTAAGGGCTGCTGAGAGTGCCTCAGCCTTGATTAAGATGCGAAGTCAATGTTGCTGAATGTTAAAAACACTGGTGCAGGAACCACCAGCACAGAACAGCCTGTCCCTGCTATTCCTGGAGCTCCGTAAGCTGCTCCCCATCCAGGATTCCTATTCTGTTTATTTTAGAGAATGTTGTTCTGCCCCCTAGTTCAAGATTCCTGTTTTCTAAAGTCATGAAAATTAAATGACATCTATCCCTTACCCCTACTACACCAGTCTGTTGATTTTACGTACTACATCTGGAGTGAGGGGAATGGGGGCATGGAAGGATGGAGCTGTAGGACCCAAGTCTCTTTTCTGTGTGTTTCTCCAAGGTGGAAATAATACCCCTTGTACTTGAATTTGAACTATATATACTACCTCTTCGAGACTCACTTAGAAACACACAGAGGAAACAAATTAGTGATTTTCGGATACCTAAGCATTGTATCATTGACTGTGCCTCTCACAGAAACAGGGAAGTCATTAGCAGGTCATTAATTTAACTTGAAATTAAGTAGGTGACTGCCTCTTGGGGCACTTGCCACAATGATGACACATAGTCCCCAGATCCGTGCCTTCCCTGTGCCTGGGGGAGGGAGGAATGCAGATGTGATTCCTACCAGCAAGGAACTTCGCATCTGGCTGAGGAGCCAAAACACAAGTCAAGAAATAACTGGAAGATATTTAAAGCGAGGCTTAGGTGTTTAGAGCAGAGAGACCCATGACTGTGAACTGCAGCCTCTTGGGCAGGCTTTCTGGAAGCCATCGTGGGAGGAGAATCATGGGAGGAGCAGAGGAGGATTTGGCTGAAAGGCTGAGATCAGGGGTTGATATGGGAAGAGGCAGTGTAGCGGCCCACGCTGGCGGGGCCCAGAGACAGGCCTCGCATGAGAAGCGGATGAAGTCACAGGCTCCAGCCTCAGTTGGGCCCCTGCTCCTTTTGTTTCTGAACTCAGTCATTCACACACGGTATTTACAATTTGCCCTATCTAACCCGTTCCATCATTATTTAATTTTTTATATCAGCTTCTTTACAAATACACTTTAAATGAAACTTTATATAACTACTGTCAATAGAAATTCGGTATTTGTTTCCTGCTATACACTAAATATATAACTATTAATATAAAACAGTCAGCCTGTGGCCCTCCCCCCTTCATATTCTCCAGTAGTGGGCTTGTCTCACTTTGAGATTGATTTCCAAGCTTCGTAGCCGCTCTTTTGACTCTTTTCCTTTCTGTTCAAACTCCAATCTCATCTTTTCCTCGGAACCTCTCAGCAATAACCTTTATCTCTGAATTCATTGTGAACTTCAACTTTCCTTCCTTCCTCTTTAACATTTCTTGTATTCTCATTAATCCTCTCTGTATTTCTCTTGGACTCAGAGAACATATTTTTTTCTCCTTTCTGATCTTTTTGCCTTTGCTCTCTTCATTTATTCATTCAATAGATAGCCACAAATCATCTGTTCCTGGCCATCCCTGTCCTCATGGAGCTTATACTATCAGTGGTTCTCAACCAGGGGCGATTTCCTCCAGAGGACATTGGGCAATGTCTGGACACCTTTTTACTTGTCACATCTAGGGAGGGGGGTGCTACTGGCATCCAGTGGGTAGAGGCCAGGCATGCTGCTAAATATCATACAGTGCACAGGACAGAGACAGTCCCCCCACAACAAAGAAGCACTCGGCCCCAAATGTCACTAGTGTCGCCATTTTGAAACCCTGGGCTTAGCTAACAACTTCTCATGATCTGGCCTAGTCTACCTGTCTGGCCTTTATCTTTTGTCCTCCCATTATGCAACTCAGCTGAACCCTACAGCTCCATCCATTACTCGCTGCCCCTCAACTGGCTACACGTTTCCACACCCTTGAACTTTGTACATGGCGTTCTCTGCCCAGAATGCATCTTCCCCTTATTTGACCTGAAGAGTCCTACTCACGTCTCGAGACTGTGCAAATACTCCAGTCCCCTTGAGTGCCTCACTGATACGCCTCTCCCCTAGCTCAGCATGATGCTTTGTTTGTGCTTCTGTGCTGCTGTCGGCATTTATATAGACCTTATAATCATAGTTTACGTGTGTGTGTGTGTGTGTGTGTGTGTGTCCCCACAACTGGAGTACACTATTCAAGGACTTGATTAATTTTCCCATGGGTCTCTCCCAATCCTTAGCTGTTCAAATCATTGCCTTCCGACATGCTTTTTCTTTGGGAACCATTCCTTGTCAATTTTCTCTTCTCAGATGTTAACTGCCTTCATTCCATGTGAGGTCGTCTACTGGTGGTTCAAAGTATGAGGGAGGAGGTCTTGACAGAAGTTTAAAGTACAAAATGATGACTTCTGTCTTAGTCCGTTCAGGCTGCTATAACAAAATACCACAGGCCGAGTGGCTTATAAACAACAGAAGTTTATTTCTCACAGTTCTGGAGGCTGGAAGTCCAAGATTGGGATGCCAGTGTGGTGGAATGAGGGTCCTCTTCTGGGTTGCCAACTTTTCATTGTGTCATTTTGTGGAAGGGGCTGGGGAGCTCTCTCAGGCCTTTTTTATAGGAGCTTTAATCTCCTTCATTTGGGGACCTCCCAAAGGTCCCATCTCCTAATACCACCACATTGGGCATTTGGATTTCAACTTATGGCTTTGGGGGGAGGGGTGGGACACAAATATTCATCTGATAGCAACAACCTCTGTGTTAGAGGGATGGGGGGTGCTTCTTATCTAACTCTTCATTTTTTGAGCCCTTGCTGTAATGTGGCTACTTATGGAAGCAAGAATCATCAAAACATGCAAATATCCACGACTGAACAAAATGCTTGTGAACTTGATGCCTGCTGAAAACACTAGTTGAGACCCTCATCTGCGGAGCCCAAGTATTTGCTGGCTAGCCTCTCATGGTTGTCCATGGCTAAAAATGTACCCTAAATGGTTGGAAAGTGAAACAGAAACTCTTGGAAAAGATGCAGGATTTCATCAGGTTGAGGAGTCCCTGAATATTTCTGCAAAGATCTCCATCACTGTGATTGGGCTGTGAAATTCAAACATATTGTGTTGTGCTTTTTCCAGTTTGGTGGTGAAAATTATGGTAAAAACTGGCACTTGATTCGTTCTATGTAATAAGAATTTGCATAGAGTTGCAATTTTAACCTAAGTTGTGTTTGTGTGTGTGTGTATCTCATAATATGTATAAATAAATATCATAATATATGCATATGTATCACTTCATATCTGCATACATGTATATGTGCGTGTGTATATATAAACTTACTATCATTATTTTATAATTCATTTTTCAGGATAAACTCTCAGGCACACTTTCTGTTTTTCATTATTTACTATGAA